TCGCTACTAGGAGCATTCTTACTACTAGTAACAAGAAGCTATTAGGGGCTCCTGGCCATACTACTAGGGGCAAGGACGCTACGAACGGGGCTTGCCGGCCTGTGGGCCCAAAGAGGTCAATGAATTTCTCCAGCGCCTCGAAAGCACGCAGCACGCGACGCACGGGGCACGGGCACGGGCACGGGCTGCTAGGGTCGGACCGGAAGACCAGGAACAAGGCACCCCAAATCGCCCGAAGGGGTTCAGTCTTTTTTGAGAAAACATGTCTTCCGCCTCAGCCATTTAAAGCCTTTGATCTTTGTTGCTTTTCTTCTCTAGGCTTTTCGTTCTGAACAAGTGCATGTGATCTTTTGCTATCTCCCGGCTTTCGTGACCTGGCCAGGAAAGGAATCCAATATATAACTCACATGACACTTGCAACCCCCCGGAGTGTGCACCATCTATCATCTATGTAAACAAAACTCGAGAGCAGCTGAAGTTGAGTATGTTTGAGTATTTGGTAAGAATCACTGATAAATCAGACTCAATTTAAATTTAGACTGAAAGTGGACTCGAGTTGGAAACAAATCACTTGTCAAGTATTGTGAAGTTGAGTTTTTATAGATTATTTGTTGGTGTTATTTGAGTATTTGTTGCGTTTGGTATGAGATGTTTTGAGTTTTGCTGCTTAGTCTGTTTTGGATTTGACTTGTGAGTTTTGAGTTGAGTTTGTTTGGATTTGGATTGCTTGTTGACTTTGTCGTGAGACCGGGTGTTTTCTTTTCGGCCCTCTGGTCACCAAAAGCGTTTTCCTAAAACAATGATCCACCAAGTCCACGGGGACCTCAGGGTGGCAGCATGATGGTGGCACCTCCAGGTGTGTGAAAGGAGGCTTCGAGCTTTCGAGAAGTGCCCACCAGGCCCAGGTCCAGGCACTGCCTCTTCTTACGGTTGCATGGAGCCGTGCCCTGAAACATCCTGAAACCACGAACATGTCTATGTTCGTGCGTTCGTCTCACGAAGTCTGTCAGGTTTAACTGGAGAAGGATTGAATGATGGAATGGAGAAGGGTTGTTTAGATTTTGGCAAACTGTATTGCATGTTCAAGTTGCAGTTTTATGGTAAATAATATGTTTAAGCAGCACAAACTACATGGAATTCATTTGAGTGACCGGCAAACTTATATATAACGTTCAAAATTTGGATCGTTTCTAGCGAGGCTTCGTTTTTGGCTTTCCGGCTTGATTTTCCAAGGAATTGCACCAGTTAGATACAGTTAGGCTACTATGCTCTGTTGTTCACCAGGTGACATATAGTACCACTAGACCTTTACAATGTGAAGTGCAGCAAAGGAACTTACAGTACAGTGCATTTGGGGCAGGGTCTACAAACAACACTCTTTCGTGGATTTTGGCTTCGTTCGGGGCTTCGTTTTGGCTTCGTTTTGAGACACCACATTTCATGCATAGCAAGAGGATGCATCCCACCAAAAGGCTTCGATTTTGGTTTTCCGGCTTCGGTTTCCAAGGCATGTGCAAGATTGGCTCATTTGGTTTACAAAACAAAAGTATTGAACACGTCCCCGTGCTCAACGACAAATTGACTGCATGATGCTAGGTGATGATATACGTTAGTTATATATTAACTTGTCATTTTTGTTCTAGTGGCCTATCAAAGTCACACGGCAACCATCCCAACATCGCCCAAAGGAAAAAACTATGCGAACCTACCTTTTTCTCACTCTCGTTATTTCCTTCATAAAGTGGGTGGTTTGTGGCTCTCCCTCATTACTCTCATTCAGACATTCAATTATAAGATTATAGAATGTAACAGTTAAACGCACTCCCCGTTGAACGAATCCCGGAGCAAACGCTGCTCGACAGAAACACCCAAAACACGGCAGCGAGATAAAACAACAACAACAACAACAACGACAACGACAACAACAACAACGTTTCCGGAAGGGTTTCACATGTTATTGTGGGATCATATAAGAGGTGTTAATCATCAACAGTCTAGCTTAAATACCTAACTGCGCATCTAAAGAGGGAGCTTCTGTTCTCGGCCTCGACGCTCAGCCAGCAGTTCCATGGGTTGGCCTTCGCCGAAGCACGGGTGCAAGGGACAAGATCTCGGTCTTGGCGTAGACGGTCCCCTCAGTGGTGGTGGCCGGATCTTGAAGGCCGTCCTTGCAGACCAAGCATAGGGTCCTGGAGCGGACGGTGAACGCGGTAGCGGTGTAGCGGAGCGGTGTACCCGGTCCCCGGTTCGGAGATCCACTGATGCCCTGGGTTCCGTCCACTTGTGGGATGGGCAATGGCAACAGGAGGGCCAGCCAAGACAAGCAGCATCATACAGCAGCTAAGATAAAAGAACTGTGGTTGAAAGGCCAATATCTCGACTGCAAAATCTTTGGGGTCGAGGAAAGCCTAACACTGCTATGGATAAGCAGGACTGGCACAGGACTAGGCAACAACCAAGGCCCGAAACTGTTTAGTCATAATAGTCCTCAGGAATCCTGCTTGTCAAGCTTTCAGCTAAGGCATCTTAAGCCTGCCTGAAAATTATTATGGTGCATGCCTCCAGGCCCTTATGGAA